ATTGTTTTGTTATTTTTCTGCTTCCGCTGATGCGGTGCTAACTGCGCCCGCGGAGTAGAACAGCACATGTTCTTCACAATGTTCGTTCTATGACTTGTCAGTGTTCTCTTGCGCTGCGTGATGTTTTGTTTTGACTGATATGCATTTTCAGGTTTATGTCAATCGTTGTGTAATATTATTTGTGACACAATACATAGTGACAATGATCTACAAAAATATGCAATTTGATTGCTTTAGATAAATGTAATGACAGTATTTTAAATCAACTCATTTTGTCTCACAAAGGATCGTTGTAATAAGACGAAACCTTCAAAAAAGTTGAGACGTTCTCATTGTAAAAGGAAAATATGCCGAACAGTAATGGAGCATTTTAGCTATGTGCAGCGATTTTGTTTACGTTGGCCATCTTTTATGATTTGTTTATAAAAACAAAACTAAATCCGCCATTCCCATATGGCGGGTCTTTATTTTTGGACTTCCGTGCCTTTCTCCAGGCAGGGAAGTGGCACCGCCTGAACGGCGGTCAGACGATGCGGTGCGGCGGTCTGGCAGCAACGGCCGACCTCTGACCGCAGTGTTTTGGCAATCGCGCTCAGGTTCCGCGGCAGGCGGGACGCCATCTTCTGTCGGCCTGCTGCGCTCTGGCCGGAGCTTCGCGCCTTGAGCGTCCATCTTCTTCATATCCTTCGGCACCGGCAGCGAGAGTGCACGGACCGCGCCGTGTATCTTCGCCGTGTGGGTCCGGCTTTTTGGAGAACTCGCATCTCTCTCAGGAGCGGCGAGAATCGACGCCACTCAGAAGTCATTGGAGGGACGCGCTGTGACTTGAGACTCGATCAGGACATGATAAACGCAGGGAAGTGTGCTGCCAGCGGCTCAGTTGGGAGGCGACTGCGCCCAATCGCTGACCTCGGATGTGCAGTGGCCGTGCTGAGCTGTGTGCCGCGGCCGCGCTGGGACGGAAGACTGGCATATGCCACTGGTGAACGCAGTGGCAGTGGAGCCATTTTAGTCTCATCTGAGCAGTGGTTTACCCCGGCGGTGCGGCCTCTATCGCGGGCCACTTCCGTTGGCACACACCGCGGGCCGTTTCCAAACAGTGCTGCAGTGAGACCGTCAGTGTACATAGCTTGGTCGGCGGCCGGGCGATGCGACCCCACAGTGCGGCCAGTGACTGTGGAAAGTGAGTGTTCTGGTGCGGGGTCCGCAGAAACATCCGTGGACGACACGGCCTAGTGAACGCCGCGACACCGCCGGTGCGCTCGAGCGGTCGAGACCTGCGTGACGACCTCCTCTATCATTGTCGCGAGGTGCGGTGTTTGTGACTGACTGATGTGCCCCGCTAGCCCTCGATACAGCCATCAGCGGCGCTGCCTGGTCGGGCCAGCCGCCTGCGGCCTACGAGTGCTGTGGCTATGCTCAGCAGTTAACACTAAATGTCGCACTGTACGGCCCGCCATGGAATACATGTCACGGTTTCAGATTTGTCAGTCTTTTCGGTGTTGTGTGCACACCTTTTCACGCTGGTTGTATCTGGCGGCTGGACAGGTCGTGAGCACCTGCATGAAATGAAACTGTCACCAAGTGTGTGGCACAATGATGAAATGTCATTCTGTCGCGTTCATTATCGGGTTGAATTGGACACTGCCTAGAGACGATTTCATGTAAAAATACAGTCTGGCAATACACCTTTTCAGAATCACGGAATCACGGTATCTTTTTGTGTCGAGAATGTGATTTCTGTGAAAGTCGAGCGATATTACCCACCTGCTGGCTGCTTCTGCAACGTCCTGAAACCATTTTGGCAAATGTGTTTGTTTTCGTCGAATCGCTTATTCTCGACTGCGCTGTGAATGCGTATAAATACATTTTGTGTGGCAAAACTCTGTTTGGCTGCTGAAGCACGGTTGAGCGGACTCCATGGCTATTCTTATTTTAATATTCGCCCATTTTCACATCGGCTAACGTATAGCCGATTTGTTTGACCCTTGATCGAGCTGAAGTCTTAGGTCGTTGGTTGACCCTCAAGGTTTCCATAGTTCTTATCTCTTATACGTATCGCCCATGGTATCGCTAAGCGTATTCCTTGGCGTGCCTGGCTGTCATTCAAAAGTAAACACGTTAGTCCCTATTTTCGGCGCCCGCTCCTAATGTGAGGAAAATATTTTCCTTGACTACAGTTTCGGCGGCATCTTTCGTTCTCCCCAGCGGATAAAATCAAAGTCCTCCTCAGCCCCTGGTGAAAACTGACACAGATCGTCACATGTCGTATCTGCCCCGTTTTTCGAGTTCTTTGAACAAGACAGTTTAGCACCAGCTCGACAGAAGAACTCTGAACATCGTCGCGAGGAAATGAAGCGTTTTTGTGGGGGACCGAAATGAAGAGGCCGTCGCGACTCGCGACACCTTGTGAACGGGACGGTTCAGATGGATAATAAATAACGTCGCGGTGCCGGAGAGGACAGGGCGGTGCGGTCGATAGTCCATCAGAGGCCGGCGTCCATCGGCTCTGCGCTACCGATCGCCGCTCTGCGGTCGCCGCGTCGCCGGTCAGATTATAAAGCGCCGGTCGAGCGGATGAGAGTGGGGACCGGGCGAGCGTTCCAATTCGGGCTATCGGGTGACGGCGGCAGTCAGCCGGACCGCGAGGGTGGAACAATAGGCGCCGTATGGCAGCGGACGATCGCAATCCGGCAGCGCTGCATATTCGTTGCCCGGTGATAATTCCGATTCGGGTGGTTTTGCATAGATTTAGCGGTAGAAGTTGGGGCGGAAGCAAGAAGAGGCTTGACTCGGGCCTATAACAACGGGGTAGCGTAACTAAAGCGATGCAGTGACCCATGTGGATGGAACATCGCGATTTGCGATAATTTAATTAGCTGTCCACCGAGTGGTGGGGTGGCTGAGCTTATCAGTCAAGTTACCCGAACTTTGAACTTTATTTTGCATTGAGTTAAACGCACAATGTAAGTCTAAATTCGAGAATCGAATTCTACGTAACTTTTTATATTAATGGAGCTGAAGAGTCGAGACCGTATCTAAATTAAATCGATATTTGCATTTTGCGGATTTTTGGACGGCATATTTTTAAGCGATTTCACTCTCGCTGTCCATTGCATATCACTCCTACTCCATGCACCATGAATGCATTTGTACCTACTTACTTCTCTGACCCAAATGCCAGAGCAGCAGAGTACAGTCGTGTAGGTACAGGTTGATGGTCCCCTACTCTTTATCCACCGGGTTCCTATGGCTCAGCATTGGCAGCAGCCGCCTGGTACCGGTAGGCTGTGCCGCATGACCCGAGAGTGAAGCGGCACAGGCTACCCACGCCGTTTGACATCGTCTCGGGTCGCCGGGTGGAGCGCTTTGTAGACCAGCTGTCGCGTCAGACTAGCGCGGGGGGAGGGGCTCGTCTCGGTGGTTGGCGTGGGCTGGCGAGTAGTGTGGGGCGTGTTGGTGGACCATGGGGGCTGGGCGGGTGTGTGTGTGGTCACTTGCTGCATTGCACATTTTGCGTCGCTTAACAACTGCATTCCTGTTTTTGCTAAGCAAAATGCACGGAAGACCCAGCGAATATAATTTCCTTGTGCATTGTGCAAAACGTGATTTGGCACGGTATCGAGGCAACCATAGGTCTTGTGCCACATATATGCATGATATTTAGGCAATACGCTTATGAAAATGATAGATTGATCGGATTGATCCTGGATGTCAATTCGTATGCTACTAAATGTCGACATGTATTAAATGAACGAATGAATGAATCAATCAATCTACCGACAATCGACATGTAGATATAAAACCGTATAAATGGCTCGCAACCACTAAAATCAAACCAGATCCTAACTCGGAAAAGTAGCCGAACCCCCATGAGGCTCGAACCGGGACTCCACGTTGAAAGTTTCGCCAATGATCCATCATCATTCCACCAAGCTAGAGCGACCGGCACCCGAAACCACAAAAACATTCATTGACTTTGCTGCCGACCTCCCGGCCCCGCCGCCCGCCCGGCCAGACTTTGCCCCGGCCGTTGCCACCATCCGGTGTAGCTCAGCGTAGGAATGATAGACTGTGAAACTGACCGGTAGTGAGAGGCCCGGTTCGAGACGCTTCGCGTGCTGGATGTTTATTTCTGTGTCCGAGGCTATGCGATTAGTCCACTTTTCAGAAAGATTATTTGGTGACAGGTCTGTTTTCTTTCTTTGCTGCAATTCATGAGGAGACCGTATGGACCCTTACCTGTCCTTCCGCACCCCACTTGGGAGATGGGTGTTTGAACCCCCCTGGGTTTTGTGAATATCTCTAAAGCGAATTTTTGGAGGGTGGATTACGATCGGTTCTATGCGACAAGTGATCACACACACCCAGCCCCAGGTCCGCTCACTCCCTCCCCACATCACCCCCCGGCCCCCGCCCCACACCACACTCCAGCCCGCCTCATCCACCGAGCCGAGCCAAATAGACAGGCCTGACCCTTACCCCCCCCCCTCCCCCCAGCCGGTGTAACGCAGCGTCCGGTCAAATCGCTCTACCAGGCGACCCGAGCCGTTGTCACAGTGTGGGTAGGCTGTGCCGCTTCACTCTCGGGTCATGCGGCACAGCCTACCGGTACCAGGCGGCTGCTGCCAATGCTGAGCCATAGGAACCCGGTGGATAAAGAGTAGCGGACCATCAACCTGTACACGACTGTACCAGCGCCCGCCGTACGACCTAACAGCGCTTCAGATAGCAGTTCGGATCACTTTCGATCAACACACCGGATGGAGGACAGGACAACACAGCTCACTACCGGACTGGAAATTGAAGAGAAGCTCAGAAGACACAAGAGAGGAAAAAGACTAGAAGCGAAGCGAAGACCGTGTCCGTCCGACCCCGGCGGCGCCGTCCGGCCCACCAATATTGTCTGAGGTCGCCGTATCTCCCCCTCTCCCCGTCTTCCGGCGCGTGCGTGCTGGCCGCAGCGGCGGGACGCGGTACGACCGGCGGTCAGTCGGTGCCATGCCGCGGCCGGGTCCTCTCAGCAGGCTGCTGCCGCTGCTGGCGGTGGCCGCAGCTGCCGCGACAGGGGACAGGGGAATACCGGACCCTCCTCTCGGTGAGTGGGGGCGCCGCCCAAGGCCTTGTATGCCGCGCCGCCACTGGCGGATCCAGCGGCGCGTGCCGCTGTGAAGGAGATAACCACGGAAAGTTATTCAATAAATCGACAGCAAAAAAAGCATGCTGAGAGCGGTCGGACAGTCGGCTGCCACTTGCCAGCTGATCAGGACGTAATCGACAAAACGTCTGTTATGTTCGGCAGGTTTTTTTAGGGGCGGAGGCATTGAACAGGCAGCCTGACCTTCGGATCGCATGGCACATTATCATATCCCTCGTACCGTGAAACTGTCACTGCCGGTGGTTGCATGATGATGCGATGTGTTTGGGCGAGGTTCATGTCTCGTGTCCATTTTTCGTATGAGCTCGTTTCATTTATTGGCACTATCTGATGCGAGTGGTGCAATGACTACCATAGCACCATTACCTAGCACACGCACTCTGATCGGTAGGTCGGTCGGACAACGAGCACAGGGAGCATGTGCCAATCGAGTCGCTCGATTCGGGGCTGCCCTTCCCCCACCCCCTCTATCGTTGACGGGCCCATCAGTCTGCCGAGTCACGTGATCGGCGCCCGTCTCCGCGGACAGTGCCGGGAGCCGGGATAGACGGAGACCGATACTGGTGTCCGTCTGGGCGGAAACGGCGCTCCTACTGAGACAGCGGCGGCAGCTCAGTGAAGACGTATTGTCACGCAAACAGCGTCTATAACCTGAGCGAGGATTCTAAACTGAGGTGGCCCGTTCTTCGGGACGGGATCAGCTGCGGCGGGGCCCACCAACCGGCGGGCTTATGATGCATCATTTCAATGTATTCAGTCTTCCCTAATCCCTATATCCTATGGCTGTTCAGTGTTCAGTGATCTTGTACCTATCGAAAGAGCCTATTCTAGCAAAACAAATGATTTGTGCACCTGCCATAGGTAAGTCGAGCGAATAATCCTATAAGTTGTTACCGAAACGGAATTCTGAACGGAATTGTGAAAATCAGAAATATTTGTGCTTTATACGCCTTCGCCAAAATGCTCAACTACAATGATGTATGTATATTCTGTATATAAATGTATATTCTACTTGCGTCTCTTTCACCCCGCGTCTCTTTCACCCCGTCAGGCGTTCACCCCCCACTGCCATCTAGCGGGAGCGATGTAATCTTGCTGCTGTTCCTGTGCGGGACAGCATACCAGTTCAGGCGCTTATCACCGCTGCCATCTAGCGGGAGCGATATAAGCTTGCTGCTGTGCGGCACAGCATACCAGTCCAGGCGCTTATCACCGCTGCCATCTAGCGGGAGCGGTATAAGCTTGCTGCTGTGCGGCACAGCATACAAGTCCAGGCGCATACTAGCCCTGCCATCTAGCGGGAGCGGGTTAAGTTCGCGGTAGTACGGCACAGCATACCGGTCCAGGCGCTTACTACCACTGCCATCTAGCGAGAGCGGTAAAACCCTGCGGCCGTGCGGTACAGCATACCAGTCCGGATGATTATAATTATGCGATATGGCGGGCGCGGCGACGCGCAGGCTGTCCCACGTCCCACCGAAGGCTGGGCACATAGTGCGCACGATCATCATCCGTCCTCGCCATCCTCAGGACAAAGCTATCAACGTCCCCCTAACGCTCCCTCTCCGGGCGGGCTGGCGGTCGCCCTGCCTGACAACCGGTGGACCGATGAGGTCGGGTCCCACCCGGGCGGTCTCGCCTCCGCGGCTCACGGTCAGTGTCCCGCACAGCTCAATGTCTACGCCATATCCTATCATTCCTACATCCCTGCTCGTTTGCTCTGCAATGGACCGAAAAAGCTTGCTCCCAACAAAACAAACAATGTGTGCAACTGCAGTGTGCACTACGCAAGGCAACGGGGACGGGCTCTACGTCATTTTTTATGATAATCACCTTAGTGGCTAATAAGTTATACCTTTTACGAAAAAGTTCAGTTAGTACATACTTGGCATACTCGGATAAAATGCCCAGACAAAAAAAAAACTCAAACCGTCCTACGACGTTTGACCTGATGGACAAGAACGAGGGGGCTCCTGTAACTCGGGCTTCTCGCCATCACTGATCAACTCCACGGAAAGCCAATTACCTGTATCTAATAGGCATAGCGGTACGTAATTATCTTATTTCAAGATCTTTGGCGCAAGGAAATTAGCCTTCTAATTTAGCGGAAAATTAGCGATACCGACCTTCCTTGATGTGGATTAGATTTGAAGAATGAACAGTGAACAGGCCTTTCGTGGTTTGCGCCACTGAAGCTCAATCTTCAATCGGTTTCGTGTTAATGATAGCGTTAGAGAGACGAATTTTCAAGACCAAGGTCGTTTTGTAGTCCTTCAGCTGGATAAGGAACGGAAAATGAAATTGACAAAAACGGTTTTTCGTACTGTTATCCATGTGGCGTAACACTGCATTGTGCACCGTCTTCGGCATTATTCTGATATAATGTGTCAACACATGTGAAGACACGATCCGTTCAATCTACTTTTGTGAGAACGCAGAAATGCTTGCACGTATTGTATTTTTGAAACAACCTCCCTGCTTCAGCGGTTAGCGTCGACCGCAAGCTCCCAGACCGCTCAGTTTCCCGCATCCGACGGCGGCGTCGGCGACGATTGCGGCTCCGACGTTCTTACTCCTAACTGCGGCGTATTACTGTCCCATCCTCGCGAAATCCCCGTAACGAGCCGGGCTCCCGTGTAAAAATCCCTAGGGGGCGCCGACTGGTCCTGAGGTGGCACCGCCCGCAGCGTAACGATGATCGTCCCGGCTTCACGGTAATTGTGCTCTGTCGGTTTCGGGCCGCGCGATCGTTGGTCGCCTTATGTTGAAAGGGTCAGGGACGATGGACAGGTTGCTACCCAATGCCCATGGGCATGATTTGATTTTCCTAACCACACTGGAGAAAAGGATCGACAGGCTGTAATCTGATTGTGTAAGATTGTCATAAATCATTTCTGTCGATTTAGCAGTGGCAGTGCCGAACAATATGAAATGTCCCTGATCATAATAGTCATTCATCTACATACATCACTCGAAACACAACACTTCAGGTGGATAACTGCCAGCAGGCCAGTGCGTCTTTATTCCAACCCCGGACCAGAGGTAATATCAAAACCGATTACCGCTTTCTATGTAAGTACAACAAAATAGGATCCATTATGCATACAAATATCACTGAAGCATAACCACAAAGCGTACCCACTGAGTAAGATTACATGGCAACAACGGCACCGAAATAGTTATCAACCATGCCCTCCGAAGGCGTGATAACGAAACGCAAAAGCGCATCCCCCGCAGTGCAACTGCAAGCACCTCATTATGTACCGTTTGATTAACTACACACCCATCAAGGCCCCATATCATTCGCTCTTCTTGCTCTCATCCCTCTTGCGCATGCAGTCTCTGACGATGCCGTCCCAGGACCTGTGGAAGAAGGCGACGACCAGCCTGAAGACGGGCATCAGCAGCACCTCGCGCGCCAGCTGGCCGGCCGAGCCCACGGGGCCCATTCCGAGGCCGACGGTCGTCATCAGCATGCCCTCAGTGCCCACCGTGCTGTTGATGTTGCCGGCCATGACGTCGTCCAGCAGCTTCTGGGCCACCTTCTCGGGCGGGAAGAGGCCGGCGGTCTCGCAGATGAGCCGCGTCTCCTCTGGTTTGGTGCGGTTCTCCTGCTCGAAGCCGGGTGTGTCCGTGTCGGGCGGGTAGCACAGCGTCACGCCCACGCCGTACGGCTTCAGCTCCTGCAGCAGCGTGTGCGACAGGCCCACCAGCGCGTACTTGGAGGCGCAGTAGCCGGTGAAGCCCCACAGGCCGACCACGCCGCCCAGTGAGGTCACCACGGCGATACGGCCCTCCCGGCGCGCCTTCAGACCGGGCACGGCCGCGTGCAGCACGTTCAGCACCCCGAAGTAGTTGACCTCCATCAGCCGCCGGTGCGTGGCGATCGGCATCTCCTCGCAGCGCTGCGCCAGCGCGAACCCGGCGCAGCAGGCGACAAAGTAGAGCGGGCCCAGCTCCTGTTCGGCGCGGAATATGGCGTCCCTCACCGCCGCCGCGTCCTTGGCCACGTCCAGGGACAGACACTGGACGCGCGCGCCCTCCACCGCCGCCTGGATCTCGCGCTTGGTCTCCTCCAGGCGCGCCTCGTCCCGCGCCACGATCGTCACGTGCGCGCCCTGTTTGGCGCAGAGCACGGCCAGGCTGCGGCCGATGCCGCTGGAGCCGCCGGTGACGAGCACGTGCCGGCCGGCCAGCGCTGTGTGCCTCCGCGGCAGCAGGCGGCCAAGGAGAGTCCCGGCGATCAGCAGCGCCGCCGCCGCCACCGCCGGCCACAGCAGCCACCACATGGCGTCAGATCACAGCGGAAAGACGAGGATCTATAAACGTCTTCCACTGATAACAGCTCAGGGGCTAGTAAGTATCCCTGACTCTATCTCTCAGCAGTTCGGCTTCCAGCAGCGTTGGTCGGGTTCCCGTCCTCGTCTGACAGCCTGCAGCACGGACCTGCCGGCATCACGGGGCGGGACGGACATCTGGTGTGACATCTGCGCTCGCTGCGGCCATTAGCGAGATCGATGCGCTAAGCGGTGCTGATTGGAGAGCGCGGCGCCGGCTGCGAGTGGTGATGAGTTGCCGCCTAACGAGCCCAGCCAGGTGCAGGTCGGAGCCGATATCAGGTGTCGAACCGAGCAGCGCCGAGGCCCCGGCGACTCCGGGGGATGGGAGGGAGGTGTCTAAGCTTCTATCGCCCACTGCCGGACTACCCTTGAACAGAGGACAAGGAATAGGGAATAGGGATAGAAAGTAGTTCATTTTTTACCGGAGGACGGGGTTTCAGTGATTTGGTCGTAAAAAATGAGGTGGTTTGAATGTCGATGGGAAATAGTTCATTTTATGACTTTGACCTGGCTGCTTGTGTCTTGCATTGCAAGGTTAGGTATTTAATAACTTATTTATTTTTTGAAATGCTTTAGTAGGTAATCAGAGGTTTAGGACAC